GAAATCACTGTATTATGAGGAAAATATCATCGTTGATTACATTTAGTTGTTAGAAAGCCTTCCTTGTGTAAGCCCTTATGGATTATAACCTTTATCTCTTTCTCCTGGACTAGGCTTCTGGAGATATGTGGAAAAAGCCCATTCTCTATCTTTTGTGATAGCTCATCATGTAACTGCAGGCAATGACCCGTTCTCCTATGTCCTTGCCAATGTGAGTCTTCTCTTTGGCAGTCTAAACATGATAATAATAAAAATGTGTTGAATTGAGATTTTTGGCTTTAAAGAAACATAGACATAAAGGAAAGAGTCATTCAATAGGAGGGCTTCAAGTTGGTGCTGGAAAGTCATCAGAAGCTGAGATTGCTTCTGGGAACAGCTCCTCTTTCTTCTCTCTTTTGTGGGCTACTAGCTTGCTGGTCTTTTAAGGTAACTCTGCTTTATCCCTCCTCTGATCTTTCTTTGCAGATATTAGCCCCTCTATACTATTTCTCTTATTTTTCTTAAAGTTTCTACTTTCTTATGATTTCACCTTGCCATGTGCCCTCTCGGCTCACGGCAGACTTTTATTTTTAGCTTCAACCACCTGCTGCTTCATTTTCTTGTATTGGCACATTCATAGTCCTAAAATACAAACTCTGACCTAGCTCAGTGTGTGTGCATGCATGTGCATGTGTCTATCAGGTTATGCCACAGTCCTAAGACTGTCTGTAGCTCGTCTGCTCTGGAGCCATTGGAGTGGGTTTTTGTGGTGTGCCTCATGGTCTTCTAGTAATAAGGGCTGCTGGGGTAGTGGGCAGCTTCCTTCCATCAGCGTAGCAGGTGTCCTGAGACTCGGCCTGTCTAGCACAATAATCCCTTACACTGGCTTAAAGCCTTCTAATTTTTTTCTAAATTCACAAATAAAAATTGTATATATTTATCACATATAAAATTTTGTTTTGAAATATATTTACATTATGGAATGGCTAAATAGATCCAATTAACATAAGCATTCCTTCACATACTTATTTTGTGTGTGTGTGGTGAGAACACAAATCTTGAAAGCTTTTTGTGTACAAAATGCTTTTGAATACATGTGACTTATCTAACACTCACCAGCACTGTAAGGCAGCTACTCTTTTAAGTTTTAAAAGACAGAGCAACTAATATGAAGTATCTAATCCAAAGCCACCCTGTTAACAAGAGTTGTTAACTAGAATCATGGTCTATTGCATCTTAAGACAAGGGTTGTTTCTTCTCTGTCAGAGTTTCTCAAAATTAGGCATGCATCAGACTAACTTGGAGGGCTTATTAAACCACAGATTGCTAAGCTCCACCCCCAAGATTTCTGATTTAGTTTGTCTACGAGGGAGCAAAATAATTTGTTGGCAAACTTCTGGGAGAGGACCTTGATGTTGGTCTGAGGACCATGCTCTGAGAACCACTGTTCTACATAAATGGCTTCATCTGAGGCTCTTATGGATAAGCAGTTGTAAAACGCAAATGTTTTGAGCAGCTGAGTAAGCTGGAACCAGGTAACAGGTGGATATAATTCTACTTCAATTGATCCTTGTTATTTTGGGACCTCATGACCTTTTGTTTTTCCTGGAAGAGAATATAGACCCAGTCATTTACAAGGCTGGAGCAGTGACATGGGGGCTTCCCTAAATAGCATTTTAATCTGATCGATCTAATCAATTACCTAGACTTCAGATTTGAGGATGGTCATAGGTTACTGGGAAATAGCCTGATGATGAGTTTGGCCTCATGGGGATTGGGAAGAGATCTAAATTGAGATCCCAGTGATCTGGATTCTAATCCCAACTACTGACTCACTGTATGGCATTGAGATCACTTCAAATAAACACCAAACCTGTTTCTTTGTCTGCATAGTGGATGTATTTATGTTGACCACATTCCTGTATTTTTGTGAATATTACCTGAAATTATGTGTATATATATATACTTTGTAAAGTAAATAACTTAAATCCTAATAATGGTTATGATAATGGAACAATAATGTTGTTCTTTGAACATTCCCATTCTGCTCTGCAAACAGGGATGTCAGAAAAAAGTTAAGAGATCATAAAGGAAATTCAGATGTTAGGATAGACATTACCACAAATCAGAAAATAACAAGTACTGGAAAGGAATGGAACCCTTATGCACTGCTAGTTGGAATGTAAAATGGACAGCTACTGTGGATAACAGTGTGATGGTTCTTCAAAAAAAAACTAAACACAGAACTACCATATGACCCAGCATTTTCACTTCTGGGTCTATACCCAAATAATTGAAAGCAGGAACTCAGAGTTTTTATACTTATATTCCCAATATCATTAATCACAATAAACAAATATAGAAACACCCAAATGCCCAATAAAAGAAGGATTGATAAATGGAATATGGAATATACATGCAATGGAATATTATCCAGCCTTAAAAAAGAAGAAAATTCTGACACATGCTAAATATGGAGACGTTATGTTAAGTGAAAAAAGCCAGTCACAAAAGACAAGTATTTTATTATTTCAATTATATGAGCTAACTAGAATAGTCAAATTTATAGAGACAGAAAGTAGAATGTTGATTACTAAGGGGTGGGGGAAATGGGAAATTATTGTTTACTAGACAGGAGTTTTACTTTGGGAGGATGAAAATGTTCAGGTAATGGATGATGATGATGGTTTCATAGCAATGTAAATGTACTTAATGCCATTGACCTGTATATACTTAAACATGATTGAGATGGCCAATTGGATGTTATATGTGTGCTACCAAAAGAAAATTTGAGAATTGGTAAATTTGGGATAGTTATGAGAATCTAGGGAAACAGTCTGGCTGCTTTTGCCCAGTTCAGAATAACTTATCCTAGAAATGCTGTGTGCATGCCAGCTGTGTGCCAAGAGTTTTGTCTTAGGGCTCATGAAATAGCAAGTAACATTGGGGAAGATTTGTTGAATCAGGGGAATTTGCTAGAAGAAAACTGACAGGAGCTAAGAAATTGGCAGTTGTCAGTCTCAGGGCATCTGTGATTTTCCACGTTCTTTGTCAGACACCACTCACTTTTTTTTTGAGACCTCCAATTTTTTTGATCCCAAAGGAAAAGCTTAGAAGAGTGAGTGTTGAGTCAGGGGAGACAGGGACCTGTAGATGTCTAGAATGTTAGAGCCAGAAGTAAGCTTATGAATTATTGAACACGAGACGCTTCACTTGAAAACCCCTGCCCAGAAAAAAATGTCTTGCCTAAGGTTAGTCAGCTACTCTGAAGCGGAATGGGGATTAGAAACAAACGGCCCTGTGTCCTAAATGCTTTCCACAACAACAGGCGCTTCATGGATCCACAATACATAATTCAATTCCTTTTCAAAGAAGAACCAAGATAGAAATTATAGATGTTTTTCTTATTGTTTGTCTCTTCTTACTCCTTCTCTATCCATCACCACTATTCACCTTTGCCCTACCTCCCTGCAGTTCACATAGTTGCTAGAGTAAGCTTCCCTCAACATGGTTCTCATCTCACCACTTAACACCCAAAAGCTTCTCGTGGCTCCTTAGTGCCTTTAGGGAACACGTGTGTTCTTCTGATTGAGACATTAAACTCCAAAATCTTGTCCTTAGTAATGAAACTGCAATGTATCCCTACACTGGAAAAACATACAACTGAAACAGGGATAATGAAGAAGTTCCCTGTGTATTAATTGGAAAGCGCTCCAGGTCATATTGTTAAGTGGGGGGAAAAGTAAGATGCTGGGATATCTAGTATGCCACCATTCGTGTATGAAAGAGGAGGAATACAACAATTTATTTTTTATTTACTTTTATTCACATATAGAAATGATCCAAGGATAAATAAGAAAGTCTAAGAAACTTTTTTTTGTGTTATTCAAACCATGTAAATAAATGTGGTAATTTTGCAAAAATAGAATAAAATCTGGCCTTGCCTAATCCTCTTTCTCTCTCACCATTCCCTGCAAATACCTAGAACTCCTACAGCTTTAGAATTTTCAGTTTCTCAAAATCTCAGATATCTCATGAAGGTGACTTTCACACCAATGCTCTCTCTCTCTTTTACCTATCAACTTCCTACTTAATTTTTCATGTCTTGCTTAGACACATCTGCTCTCTGAAGCTTTTCCTACCTCCCCAGATGGAATTTAGTCCTATCTTCCTTGGTTTCTTAGCTTTTTGCTCCCTTTCCATTATTACTCTCCCCTGTTAGTTCCAGAAGTTGAACATTCACATACAGAACAACGAGTCACCGAAGACAAAAGATCTGATTTCCACCCCCTGGGACACTGCTGGACCAAAGGACAGATAAAGCATCCATTTGTTTCCTTGGTTCACAGCACTGGCTTTAACTGAAAATTCTTTTGCAGAAAATATTTATTACTAAGCATTTATTTGTCACCATAAGCAATGTTTTGTAACATTCACTGAAAGTGGCCTTCAATGTTGGTTATTTCATATAATATTTTTAGCTGTAACCCTTGTTGAAAACATATCTTAAAAAATGCATTAATCTTTGTTCCAAGTTACTATATAGAATGGAATGAGCTTCCTTTTCTCTTCCATTGAGGACGAAACACTAACTAATTACTAGGAACTGGTATGAGAGGGTGGGATAAGTGAGATGGAGTTGTTGAAGTACAGGGTTCAGTTTTGTCTTTATTTAAAATGTCATATTTTATTTATCATGATGTGTTCATATTAATTCTGACTACAATGAAGCTTTGTTTATCCTGGTTGCTTGAGATATGGGTGTCCTTTTAGATTTTTCACCTGAGGCAGATGTCTTGCTAGCTGCTTCACCCTAGCATCTGCCCTGCTGTTGTTCTGATTACCAAATACCATTTTATTGGTTGCTTGGGTGTTTCTGCACAAATTTAAATGAATATGAGATCCAACTGGTAGTTGGGCTTTTGACAACATTTCCATGGAAGCTACAGAGACAATGTGTAGCTGGAATTCCTTTTGCCTTTCTTGCTTCTTCACTTAGACATTCCTAAGTTCTGCTCATCCCTCTAGGCCTGGGCAAAATTCCTACTCTCCCTGAGGACTTTCTCAGGCTTAGCCTGCATCCTTCATCTTCTTACTCTTGGGGCCACTTATCCCACTTCCTATCCCAGCACTCACAGTTGTTTTGCCAGGACCATGGCTATACTCTCCCTCTAACTTCTATTTCTTCTGTGTTTAATTCTGTCTCTGAAACTTTGACTTACAGATTTTCAAGTGTTTTCTTAGCAATAAGTCTGAATTGGGGAACAACTATCATGACTAATTAGTTCATTTAATTTGGCCCAGGAACTCTTCTCCTTAGTTTCTAAAATTATGTATTTCAAATGTTTATCCTTTAAGGTTTTATCTCTCCTGGCATAGGCCCTAATTTTGAGATTGCTGCTTACCCACGTATATAATTCCTGATAAGACAGGGCTCTCTTTGAAATGGCAAATGCCGGCTGTCTTACCTCCTGCCTATCCATTAAGGAGTTAGGTCTTCATTTTAGTATTCAATCTATTTTCTCCCCTCTAGGTTTTTTCTCTATATTGATTTAACAAAAGCTAAAATAAACGGCTGAATCACTATCATTTCCACAAGAGATGTATTACTTCTAACCCAAAGGGAATTTGCAATATCAGGTATATGAAGGGCTCCCGTTACTTTAGGCCTTGGCAGATTAGGTGTTCATTAAGCTTCCCTCTTGGTGCCCTCCCCCAACCCATCATTTAATATATCAGAACTCTGATGAATAGCAAAGAAATGATCAGAGCCTGGCACATAGAGCTCACTTAAAAGTTGTGGTTTATTCTCTTAAATTCTTTTGGATGTTGGATTACGGTAGAGTTGTTTGGGAAGAGGATTGAGTGGTGAGAAAATGGAATAAGAAATTGGATCATGTTATAAAGGACTCAACTGCCTGGGAGCTGGGATTCAGGTTGCTGTCTGGCTCCTCACTGAGTGCCTGTTCTAAGGCAGCTAGCAGGGAGTGGAGCAAGTGCTCCCAGAAATCATGCCCAGTGAAGACGTAGAGAACTGGATTGAGACAGCTGTTGATAAAGTCCATAGATGAGGTTAGGTGGCTTATGAGTAAGGCCACCTGGGTCAGGCCCTCTCTGTCTTCCTGGAAGGATGTGAAGTCCAGCCACAGGGACACTTGCAAGGGCAACCAGCAGAGGAAGAAGGCAGTTACCGCAGTCACAAGGACCTGGAAGGGTCAGCTGAACCTAACGAGCTGCCTTTCTCTTAACTTCAAGGCTACAAGGATGTAGGAGCCAGTGACTATAGCCAGAGGGAGAATGAAGCCAAAGAAAAAGCAGGCTGTTGTGACCAGCGTTTGGTGCCATGGAATGACCATCTCTTTCCAAAGTTGGTGACTTCCTTGAGTTTCATTCTGCAGGTCATACTGGTTGTACCAAGAGGTGACATTTTCCACCACAAGTTTCCTTGAAGATCAAGCAGGGAACAGAGAAACAAATTGCCAAAAGCCAGGCCTTCAAGGGCCCCAGAGTTGCCTTCGCTGATGTGCAATGGTTCCGGGATCAGATTGGCCACAGGATCACAAGACAGTGGTCCATGGAGATGAGGGTCAGAAGGAAGACACTGGCCAGAAAGTTAAAAATATACATGGTGCTATTGAGCTTACAGAGCAGTTGGCCAAAGGGTCAGTGGTATTGCAGAGCTACCATAACCAGCTGGAGAGGCAGTGGGAAGATGATGATGAAGTCAGCCACGGGCAGGTTGAGGTACCGCACCTGCTGACTGTGCAGGACATGTGGAAGCCAGCTACCCCAATGACAAGGCCATTGCCAGCCAAGCCTAGGAAGAAAGTCACTGTGTAAATGACCACGGAAAAGATGTCAAGAGCAGACTTGACCCTCTCCAAAGAGTCATCGCAATAGTCAAGCATGACGTGGGACTCTCTACAGTCAGCAGTGACAGTGCAGACACATTCTCCATGTTACCTAAAAGTAGCCAAGTTTAGGTTAGGCTCAAACTTTCAAGCTACATAAACTGCTTAAATTACCACCACTTCCTTTCTTATGATGACTGCAGATAGCTTTCATGTCCCTGCTTTAGGATGTGCCATTCTCCACTGGTGATATTCCTCCTCCTCCCTCATCTGCTCTCGCTCCTCTTCCTCCTCCTCTTCTTGTTTTCTTATCCATATTCTTAACTACAGTTTTCACCACTTATTCTATGCCAGCCACTATGCTAACGTTCTGTATATTGCATATCATGAATTAAGCAGCTACTAGGAGTCCAGTGTTCTGTTCATATATTGCATTTAATTTATTCCCCATGACAAATCTGTCATATGGAAAGGAATTATTACAAATGAGAAAACTAAGGTTAAGGGAGGTTACTAAATTACTGAAAATTAAACATTCAGCAGTAAAAAAAAAAAGCAGAAATGAATTTTGACATCAGTTCTGCTTAATTAAAAATTCATATACTTTACCTGATTTTTTTTCTTTTTACTGCATATTCCTCTGTCAATGGCCTGAAGGGGGGCTCATATTTGTATTTTTAATTTAGTTTACAAAGGGCTTTCCTATGCTTCACACTATTTAATAATTTCCAAAATGCCATGTTAGCTACGTAAGACAAATGTTTTATTATTGAGATGATTTTTGACATATATGAAAGCAAAGACTCAAAAAGGCTGCTTTCTCTGAGCTGTAGCTCACTGCACTAGGAACTAGCAGACCTGGGTCTTGAACCAAAACCTCCTGAAGCCAAATCTTATCTTTTCCTCACCTCATTACAATGCTCTTTTTCATGAGTAAAGAATATCAGGAGGTGGGTGTCCATCCTGGAGGAGGTGGGCTCTCTCCTGGTAACTGATCCTCCAAATTCTCTTATGGGAAGATGGTCACATCAGCTGCAAATATTTAGGGGCCATATGAATTATTGTCTAACCCAAAGGAATTATTGTTTTCTCATTTCCTTATGGGAAATGCCTGCTGCACATTGTTGGCATTGATATCTGTTTCTGTTGTATTTTCCTGTTTCAATTTTTAAGTTCCTCAGTGTGTGGGGCCAGTCTTCAATTCTACTTAATGCCTGCTTTTGTTTATGCTGCTCTCGCTTTCTAGAATGCCTTCCCCTCCACCATTTTCTGTTGGCGAAATCCCGCACACATACATCCTAGTAGACATAACTTGCTTCTTTCATTGTTCATAGCACCTGGTATCCATTTAATTCCAGCAGTCTTGCCTGCATATTAGAAATGATTGCTTTGATATCTATCTCAGGAGTCACAGCTTATTCCAACTCTATCACTAAATACCTTAGGCAAGACATTTACCCTCTCTGAGCTTTAGAGCCTTAATTTTTAAAAGCAATATATAATATTAATACATACCTCATAGGGTTGTTGTGGTAATCTAAGGAAATATTTCGGTGAAATATTTAGAAATGTATCTGATACGTCAAAAACATGCAACATGTTGGTTATTATTCTTTTCATTGATGCCATCATTACTATCCTAATTATTATTTCATGCACCACATTTGATTTATATTAACATTCCATAAACATTTGTTTACTTATTATAGTGCTGATAAAGGATAAAGATTCAATGAGATTATACCCGTGAGTATAAATTATAGAATCAAAAGAGTTATATAAAGCAGAATCCTTTTTCCAGAAGGAACCAATTATTTCCCTTGTCTTAGATGCTTACTTATTTAAGTGAAGTTTTCCTCTTCTTGCCCAATCTCTTCCCAACTTTTCACCCTTCATCTGCCCTCAAATGGCCACTCCCAGACAACTGTGAAACCTGCCTATGCCTCTCTCAGTAGTGGAACCGCACACACTCACCTTGACCAGCTTGGAGCTCTGCTTCCCTGCTCGGGAAATAGCAGCCAAATCCGTTTTGGAGGCTTTTGAATCTCCAGGGCCAAAGGATTCTGAAGGCATCTCTGTCAGTTGTCAGACTGGTGAAGTCTCTGTGCTGAGGATCTAAGTAATACAATCGAAACGGGCAACTTGGGGGCACGTGTTGAGGTTTGTCCAAATGCCTAGAATTCTTTTAGGGAGGAAGCTTGGGATACAAACAAATTTTACTCATCAGGGCCTTGCAGTTCAGTGACCACCTAAAGTCTCCAGATAATTGAGACTTTAGGAAATGTGACCTCATCTTTGATGAAATTTACGTCTAAGATTTTAAAACAAATATAAAGACAATTTAGAAGTGCATGCGCATAGTAAAGCTTGACATTAGTTACCACAGTAACAGCTAATATTTATGGAGTGCTTATTATAGAGCAGGTTTAACCCCCTCACTATTCTGTACTTTGGAATCAGAAGGGTGTGACGACAGGATTTTGTAAAAACCACATCAGAGAATCCTCTGTGGAAATAGAAAGGGTAGTTGCTTAATCACAGATGGCAATGAGGTGATTGAACTTTGTAGGCTTAGTTTTGAGTCTAATCTGTGAGACCGGTCTGTAAAATGAGCTTAATCTAATTGAACTTTAGCTATAAAATCAGTATATATTCTTCTGCAGCTTAAATAAACCCAGTAAATAAAGGTAATTGGACAACCAGAAAGCATAATACAAATGTGTGATTTGTGATTTGGTTTAAAATAGTTGGACATTATAAGGATGCAGTATTATTAAATAGTATTTGGAAAGGCCATCCGCATGGGGCACTGTGGTAGATGAGAAAACCGATGCTCAGAGAGCACCTGTTTATGGCATGGTTGTGGTGGTGAGGGATCACCCCCATGTACAGAAAGTCAGAAATGGATACTTCCTCAATGATGAGAGGGGCAACTTTGTGGAAGAACCAAAGAGTGAGTGAAGTTTTAAAACTGGAAGAGAGGGGAAAGGATAGTGTTGGAGGTAAATGTTGAATACCAATATATGAAAATAAATCTGAATTTAAATATTAAATGAAATATATTTACATAAACCTGGTATATTCCCGTTAACAATAGCTCAGAACAATCTCTAGTGTACAGTAGCCTTTTTGATTCCCAGTTTGCTTTTCTTGGTTTCAGTTACCCATGGTCAACTGGAGTTCGAAAATATTACATGAAAAATTTCAGAAATATACAAATCATAAGTTTTAAATTTCACACTGCTCTGAATAGCATGATGAAATATCATGCCCGGGGACATGACTTGTCCCTTTGTCTACAGTACCCACACTGTGGATGCTACTTGCCTGGTACTCACTTGGCAGACAACTCGGTTATCACATTGACTGTCTCGGTATCACAGTGCTTATATTCAAGTCACCCTTATTTTATTTTGTAATGGTCCCAAAGTACAAAAGCAGTGATGCTGGCAATTTGGATATGCCAAAGAGAAGCCATGAAGCGCTTCCTTTAAGTGAACATAGAAACGTTCTTGACTTAATAAGGAAAGAAAAAAAAATATGCTGAAGTTGCTAAGATCTATAGTAAGAACAAATACTTTACTTGCAAAACTATGAAGAAGAAAAAAAATGTGCTAGTTTTTCTGTCACACTTCAAGCTGCAAAAGTTACAGCCACAGTGCATGATAACTTTTATTTCAGTATGTTGTGATAGTTGCTCTATTTTATTATTAGCTGTTGTTAATCTTTTACTGTGCCTAATTTATAAATTAAACTGTATCGTGGGTAAGAATGTGTAGAAGAAACATAGTATACATAAAGTTCAGAACTATATGAGGTTTCAGGCATTCACTGGAGGTGTTGGAATGTATCCTTCTTTGATATGTGGGGACTCCTGTACAAAGCCTCTTCCATTATATCATCATAATGGCCATGATTGCACACCCAAGGGGTCATATATCTTTGACTTGAACTTTCATCCAGAACTCTTATAAAACACAATATTTTCCGGGCGCGGTGGCTCACACCTGTAATCCCAGCACTTCGGGAGGCCGAGGCGGGTGGATCACGAGGTCAGGAGATCGAGACCATTCTGGCTAACATGGTGAAACCCCGTCTCTAATAAAAATACAAAAAAATTAGCTAGGCGTGGTGGCGGGCGCCTGTAATCCCAGCTACTCGGGAGGCTAAGGTTGAGGCAGGAGAATGGCGTGAACCTGGGAGGCAGAGCTTGCAGTAAGCCGAGATCACGTCACTGCACTCCACGCTGCGTGACAGAGCAAGACTCCGTCTCAAAACTAACTAACTAACTAACTAAATAAAAACTTAGATGCCTAAGTATTTCTTATTGCTTCTGACTCTTCCATCTTCCAGCAGAAGACCATGGAAGAAACAGAAACTTTCAGGGCACAGCCTTATAGGAAAGTTGTGTCAATAGATGGTAGCAGACTTTGTCATTATTCCAATAGGTAAAATGAAAATAAACTTTGGGTCAAATAAATACTCCTAGGCTAAGCCAGTCCTAGGCTTGTCTGATGCATATTCACATGCCAATACAGTTTTATTCTTTTAAGGTGCTTTTTGTTAGCCTGATATTTTAATATTGTTTATGATGTGTTAGAACTTGATTCTGGCAGCCATTATCTGAACTAAAAAAGCTTAATGTGATCTGGGGCCATTAATAAACTCTAATGCCGTCTTCAAAGAAGCTGGTAGACTGGCTCTGCTCTGTGCAAGACCATCTGAAGTGTTACCTTTAGCTGTGGCACCACTTTGGAGATGCTTGGGAACACTTCCGGTTGTGGTGAGGAGGTGATAATGGCTGACCTTAGGTATCCAAATGTGACCTGTACATCTAATTATTAGTGCTTTTTTCTAAGTTTCTGTCCAGGACTTAAACTTAGTTCTGTCCTTCCTAAATGCTTTCCACAATTGTTGATGACAATATGTTGGAAGTTCTGGAGTTGGCCTCATGGACTAAGGAATGCAGGGAGGGCTGAATAGCAGCCTGTGTCAACTAAAATGTCTGTTGATTTATCAAGATCCTAGTGTGACAGAAGGATCCTGAAGATCCCCCCTATACTGCTAAATATTTAGGGGATGCTATGAAATCTCCTAAGATTAGAGGCCTCCAGGTCTTCAAGGTATGTCAGCCAATTTGAGTACTTCGTTTTTACTCTTAAATTCCCCATATTCCCAAATCCAACATAAAAATTTCTGAGCCTCTGAGCTCCCCCATAACCCCAAATCCAATATAAAAGGTCCTAAACCTTCTGCAGCATTTGAGGTAGTATTTCTTTTAGCTGGCTTGTCATCTGAGAAGTAAAACGAAAACTAAAAACAATACTTCTTCCTCCTCTTTAAATATTTCTTTTTCCTTTTTCAATTCATTATTTTCTTCCAGCACAGGATGTGGCACAAAGATGGCCATCACTGACATTGCCTGTTAGGTTGCTTTTGTTTTGTAGATAAATTGTAGCACAATCTCTGAAATGGCCACAAGAGAGCATTTGTACACCACTTTGGAAGTTACTCTTGTTCAACATCACATTCCACAAACATTCATAGTTTCCCAGGGTTTGAATTTTAATAATTCCACCCTGAAAGAGAGAAAATGAAGCTGAAGTCATATCAGACATAATCTAATCCATATTATCATTCCAAAGATTCCAGATCTCAGGACCTGTGATAGTCCTTTTAGTTTTAAATACTCTTTAAAATATTGAAGAATTGTGAATGATTTTAAATATTTCGAAAAAGAATTATTTTAAATATTTTAATTAGTATCAAGGCTTAAGTAGCTGTACTTTTGACTTAGATTATTAGAGCTTTGCTTATTTGATAGTCAAAACCTTAAAATATTGAGACCCATGGGGGAAAATAATGTGTGCACCAACATTTATTGAATTGGATACTTTTTGTGATAGAGTCCCAGAAATGATATGCGAGAAGCTTAATCAGGCTTAAAGTGCTTTGTTTATTGCAGTTTTGAATATCTTCTTCTTGAATTAAGTCTTAGGTTAAGGAGGCTGTTGGAGTCATATGATGATATTGTGGTGCAAAATTAATTACCTTTGCACCAACCTAATAGAATTGGAAAGCATAATGTAGATAATCTCATCCATCCTTATCTATTACAAGAGGCTTTTCCACAGTAAATTTGGTATTAGCTAACCTTTATTTGTGGGATTCAATATGGAGCCATTAAACTTTATTTTCTTGTAATTTATAATCACATTTCAAAAACAACTCAAATTCCATCCTAAATTCAAATCTATTCTTGCTTCATTATGATAGCCCTCCAAATATCTGAACAATCCCTTAAGGCATTCTTAGTTTATCATCTCTCCAGACTGATGTCACCAAGTTTATTAACTGTCTCTCATATGATCCTTCAAAAGCCTGGATAATCTTCTTCTTATGGGTTTGTTGTGAATTAAATATGACCACCCATTCTTTGTAATTCCTCCCACCAAGAAGTAGAGTTTATTTTCTCTCCTCTTGGCACTGGTCAGGTCCTATGGCTTTATTTGAATAATGGGATGTGGCTGAAGAGATGCCATGTGTCTTTTGAGGCTAAACATTAGGACATCCAGGGTTTTAATTTTCGTATCTTGGAATGCATTTTCCTTGAACTCATGAATTACCAAGATGCTTTGCAAACTGCCCTCCTCACTGAGCTCCTAGCCAAAGCCAATCACAAATGCCAGTATTCTGGCTCTCCAGCCATCCCAGTGCCCCAGTAAACATCAATCAACGAAACAGATGAAGCAACCATATGGTATTTTTAAAGAATCATGAAAAAAAGTACACTGTGCTTGTTTTGAGCCACTGAATTTTGGAGTATTTTGTTATATAGCATTAGACAACTGAGAGGTCCAGGTTGCAAATGATCTCACTGGGTTGAGTTTAGATCTAAATAGGATATGTTGACTGTGACTAATAACCTGTAAAATAGATTTCTTTCTTATTTGATTTTGATGGCACATTTTCATAGTAACAGATTTTTTCAGCCATGTTTTCATAATCTGCGATATTTGAAACGATTTCTGAGACCAGAGCTATTGTTTCTCATGTTGACTTAAAAAGAAAGACTATTGAAATAGGGTCTGTGGCTTTTTCCTCAGTTCCTCAGTTCTTTTCTGACAACCAAAAAATAACTCCGGAATTTTTCTAGACTTGATGGAATGACAAACATGATTTCATTAGTGTAATACTTAACTGTAAACCAAGGGTTTGCACATACGTCATCTCAATTAATCCACACAAACATATATGGCAGCATTAATGACCTTTTAACACACACTAAAGAATTTGTGGGTGATAGGACATTGGCCAGCAATTTACTCTCCAATGATTCTGAAAAAAAGAGTTCTATGTACTGGATTCAAATATTTTCTGTAAGTTTGAAATTGTCTCAAATTTAAAAACTCATACCAAAAAAATCTTATAATTTGTTCACTGGATGCAGTGATTATCCATTCTCCTGCTTCTATTCTGTGTACAAGCTAAAGAAAGGTCAAATTCTTTAAAGAGAAATTATAAATAAAACTCCCCAATCATCACTCAAAATTAAATTATTGAGAAGTAGTGTTCATGAGCTTGGTGATGGTGGCTACTGTGACTGAGGTTATAATTATGAAGCTGGACAGCTAAAAGTAAAGATAGAGAGGGGACAATAATAATAATAGTAATAATAATAGTAGTAATAATAATAGTCTAACGTATCTTGAGTGTTCATTCCCAGGTACTAATTTTTGTAAGCATTTTGCATATGTTAACTCATTACTTCTAACACCCTTAGAAAGAAGGAAGTTTGTTAGCCAATCTATAAAATAGTTGATAAAACTGAGGCCCAGCAAGTTAATAACTTCCCCATTGGAAAAGTTGGGCCATGAGTACAGACAGGCTGGCTTCAGGACCTGTGCTCTTTGTCACTAAATGAAGAACAAGGGCACTCAAAGCACAAAAGAGTGGCCTCGACCCTAGAAAGATGTGGAGAAGCTGGAGACAGTGTTCAGCAAACATCAAGCTTGTCAGGAGCCCACATGCCTTGGTAAAAAGGCCTCCTCCACCCTGTACTGCTGACCAAAAGAATCATAGTGCATGTCGTTAAATCAAACTAAATACGGCCTGAGAAAGCCTCCATACTTCCACATTTGAGTCCCTGTGGATGAACTATCACCGCCTTAGTAGGTAGACAAGACAGTATGCTTCTGTAGCAATAGCTGAGTCTCAGGCAATCCCAGAAGCCATACTTAACCACTCATACTCTACTGACTGTTCAAACTGTGTTCAAATAAGGCATGCACCAAGCTGTAACCAATCCATCTGTTTCTGTACCTCACTTCTGTTTTTTTAATACCTCACTTTCCTTTTATTGTTCTGACCATGGGGCCTCCCTGGAGTCACTCTGAATCTGCTATGATTCTGGAGGCTGCCCAATTTTTGAATCTTTTATTTTTTCCCTTGCTCAGTTAAACTCTGTTAAATTTAATTTGTCTAAAGTTTTATTTTAACAGATCTGGTGTCAGAATTGGACTAAAAGTAAAATTCCAGCAACCCCCAGGAACACCACGTGACCAGGCGAGGTATCTGAGGAGCCTATTGTGCTCCCTGCTCTCTTGCGTGTAGCTGGAGGTCTCAGATTCTGAGCTCCATCAACTTGTATTCTGAGCTTCTACGTGTTTATTTGAGCAATAGTTAGGCTGGACTGAGTCCAGGATTGAATTGGATTTGATAATCAACTGCATTGGATTCAATGTTAGTGGTCTCAGGCCTCAGGAAAGTACCTTATTTTGAAAACGGGATTGTTTGAATCCAAAGAGTCTGGGACTCCACCTTCCAGGACTCCATCTAAATTTTATATATAAAAATTATGGACCCAGAACATGTGCATTTTTAGAAAAATGGGTTAACCACACTAGAGAAAACTTAGAATTAAGATGGCCACAATGAGGAGGTTTTAATTTGGATAAAATTGTTTATTCATGAGGCACATTAGATAAAGTGGGATCAAAAGCCCCACAAAAACAGTGGGACATATTCTTTCATTGGTACGCAGAAGCCTCTAAAAGACGACATGAATCAAAAATTGCCTCCTTAAAAGATTCTTTGCAAAAAGCAAATGAAAAGCGTAAGCAACAGACCAAGAACGTGATAAAAGAGGACTGCACTCTGACTGAACTAACCTCAACTATTCCTTCTCTTTATGCATCTCTACCTACATAGTCTGAGTCCACTAACCTTTTTGGTAAATTACCCTTTCACCCTGAAGATGATGAAAAAAAAAGAAATCAGACAGATGCCTTACAAAGTGAGACCTTCTGACCTGCCAGGCCTGCCTGCTGTAATTACTTTCACTTCATGGTCCAAAACTAAGCTTAGAGCCATTGTGAAGGACTTCGCTGATCCAAGGGAAAACCCTCAGAACTTTACTGAGGAATTTAGAATCCTCATAGGAGCTTACGATCCAGGACTTCCTGACCTTTACCAATTTATTCACATGATGTTGGGGCCTGGTGAAGCTGGGGAATGGATGGCCGCAGCAGACTGGGACAAACCTGAGGCAGATATTAAAGACCCCTCTGAAAGTTCTTCATGAGAAGGACAAAAAGTAGCCAGAAAAATTGGTAAATACCCTTTAAATTTAATTCCTAAAATTTGTCCACAAAAAATTGATTGGCCCATCATACAATCTTGTAAACAAAAAAAAGGATGAGCTAGTTTCAGATTACAGAACTCTCTTAGAAACACTGTGAAACATGTAGGGCTCAAAGTACAGCAAGGAGTATTTTCTGCAGGGACTGAAATGGTGTTAACTGCTCTGTTTATACGTGGACTCCATCCTGAGCCTAGCAGTTTGATTAGAAAATATAAACTGGAATAGGAAGTTACAGGAATGACTGAATTGGTGACCTTAACTGAACATTTGGAGATGACTCTAGAGCAGGAAAAAACTCAAAAGGCAAACAAGCTTATGACCCTTCAACTACAGTAGTTCTGGGGGCCGGTAGCAAAGGGACCTTCTCATTCTCATTTTAAATCACAACCAAAAGGTTCTACAACAAGAAGTTCTTTACCCCAAGATGTCTGCCTTCATTACAGACAATCGGGACACTCTAAAAGAGCTTGTCTGCATTTATTTCAGTATGCCAATAAGCCTCCCTTTAGGCCAACTGTTTCAACCCTAAAAAGAACCCAAGAGACCTCAGCCCTTCTGATAAAAATCAACATTGATGAAGCTCCAAGGAATTCTCTGATAAATTTCTCCCTATAATACCTTTAAATGAACATGGAGAAACAAAGTTAAAATAAATGGGGAGTCATGTACAGTCGTGGATACCAGAGCTACCCTATCTACCATAAACTCCACTTTAATAAGCCAACAAATCCCTTGGAGTAAAAAGGTCATTCCTGTGGTGAGGGTTTCAAATTGAGTACAAGAGGATCTCTTATCTGAACTCATCCAATTCATTTTGGGGCCTTTTCATAATAACACACTTTTTACTATGTGATACTGCTCCAGTAAATCATCTAGGGTGAGATTTACTTTCAAAACTAAAGGGTACAAACAATTTTCCTTGCTCCTTTTGAATAGCTTCTCCTAAAAAGTCTCATAATAGTACTTACAATCAGAGGCCAAGAGTTTTAATCTTAATATTTCTTTTAGA